CTGGCTTAATCGTCCCATCGGGGCTTGATCTCCTGGTTGCAGATCAGCAGAAGTCCCTATACCCTAGATGCCAATCCCTAATGCAGCATGGCCCTGGCTATTTGAGTGTCAGGTCCCCCAGCCGGTACCCTGTTCACGCTTCTCTGTCTGAAATGTGCCCCCTCTGCCATGTCATCCCTGACCCACCCTGTCTCCTGCCATCCCCATCTAGAACCCTTGTAAGTCAAACAGTAAATAAAGGGTGGGAACAGGACTGAACAGGACTAGAGTGAGGGGCCTAGGGCATGAAATTGAGGGAGGCACTCATTCTCAGTGAACCTTGAACTTGCATGGCCCAGAGACGGAGTTCCTCCTTCAATTTTGTACCCTAAACACCTCTCTAAGCCACACCCCGATCCCAATCCTGATGAGGTCTCCTAAGCCTAAAACAGACTTAAGGCACTCTCTAGACTCGAGTTTCTTCAGTTTCTGGTTTTAATTTCTGGAAAGAAATATTATTTAATTATAAATAAGAAATTCTTCTGCCAAGGGGGGGAAATTCATGGGGAAGAAGAAAGAACTTTATATCAAGTGCAGCACGGTTCATGGCTGGTGATTAATCTCTTTATGGAAAATGGCAATTTTAACACTGACATGAGTAATCACACCTTTTCTTTCCATAGTAGTTTAGCATTTCCTGCTATATTAATTCAGGCCCTAATCCTACATTCAAGGAAGCAGAAGTGTCAGCACACTATTAGTTTTCTCTGCGTTGACCCATTTGTTTCCTCATAACCTCGCTCCAGTCTGCCATGCTGGCCTACAGTAGTGATTCGTGATGCACATCGACTAAGGCTCTAAAGGGCATCACCAGGAAGGACCTCCACACAAAGAATGATTCCTCAACGAGGTGACAGCTCAATGAATGGCCAGCGACACAATCAGGAGCCTCTTCAGCGGTGAGGTCCCCTGCTCTTGGATTTTCAAGGTCACTGTCTACGGAAAGGCAGGAAGAAAGGAAAAGTCCCTGAACCGAGGGTCAGGTCTCTTGGGTCCTAATCCCAGTCCTGATGTCTAAGTTTGCTAAACTTCTTGGTTTCTCCAGGCTTTCATTTCCTCATCTGTGCAAAGAGAAGACTGACTGAGAGCTAGATCAACAAAGACAACTTCAGCACGAAACTGCTCTGGTGCCACTTGGGTGTGAATCTCTAGGGGCTTGAAGCTATTCTTAAGAGTTCCTGGAACTCTTTCCTGTTTCTGTTCTCTGAAAGACTTTGACCACAGCAGTGAGGGTCTAGGTTCATGCCCACGTTACCGCTCTGGTTTGCCGAGGTGGTTGACAAATGTGGAAACAAGTTCGGCTATGCTTTCATCTCAGGACCTGGACTTTAAGCCTTTCCTTTTGCCCCCTCAGGGTGTCTTCAGGACATTCATGCCAGCTTCTCCCCCTCCCCCCCCTGAGCTGCCAACTCATGCCTCCATAAAGGAGGCCTCTTAACCAGCCCACCAGCGCCATCTCCTTCCCACTGAGGTTTCTGACTCAGAGCTGCAGTGTAGCGTGCGGCACCCTCAGACAAGAATACATCTTGCAAACTGCATTGGGGGCTGCTTCTCTGGGCTGCACCTTCTGGATACCAGAACCAAGATGACAACCGGAGCTGAATTCTTCACAGATTGGAGAACATCTAATTATACCTGGGAAGAGCTTTTTAATTCAGAGGGTTTTTAAAAATAGGTATATATTTTACATGTATGTATATACATTTCATAATAGTCCAACATGACTAATACTTGCAGTGTTGTTTCAATTCTGTCAGTGTAATTGGTTCACTCATATCTGAGTATCTACATATCATTAAGACTCTAAACTTTGACTCTGAAGGATATATTAAGAATAAAGTCTGACACTTCTCTCTGAACATGATTTTTTTCTGAAGACTTTTGGAAAGCAACAAAGCAAGAAAGGACTGGGTAGCAAATAGGGTTTCTCCCATCTACTGACACCAATCAGTTTAGGGTGGATCCCTTGTGGCTATGTTGGAAAGGATCTTGAGACGGTAACTTGGCAAGAAGAAGCGTCTCATGGATAAGCAATGTTGGCTCTGGGGAAGGAGGGAGCTGGGCAATATATGTGCCATTTATGTGCCATCCTTGAATGACCTTTCCACTGCTCACCTCGTCCTTCTGCTTGAAACCAGGAGGCAAGGCATGAGGCTCCAAGAATGGAAGTGTTGTCCGTGATGGAGGAATGTCACACAAAGTATGGTCATTTCAGTGATAAACATCAAATTAGGGAAGAAGTTATTATAACCTTCATTCTGGAGCCTAGCTTCCGCATCCACATATCTGGTGAATCCAGTTGAAACCAAAGTCATTTTAGAGAGGGGGACTTCCTAATGATGACAAGTAAGTTCGTAGAGAAGGAAACTGAGATTTCAAAAAATGTGCTCCACAATTACGATACAAATAACTGTATATATGGCAAGCAACAGAGAGTCTCTTGTAGGATCCTAATACTAACCTCCATTTACTCCTTACTAAGAGAATGGCACGCTCTTAGGCAGACAGGACTATAGTGAATCTCCCTGGCTAATTCTGTGTGTGTCCTGTTTAGATTCATTATCCTGGTTTGCCAACACTCTCCCTCTTTGCCTCCCAGGACTTTCCCCCATGTCTCTTCATGCTAGAATGGGTTCTTCCTTCCATAAGGGCCTGGACCATCCCAAATGCTGAAAACTCTTTTTCTCCATCGGCTCTTGCTTTGGACTTTAAAGAAAGAGTCATCAATTATACTCCTATAGCCCTAGATATCTGCCCTTTTAATGGATACTTGTTTGGAATTTAAAGAGGTTTCTTTTTCCTCTGATACAGAAAAATATCTCCTTTTCATACATCACCCCCCTCCAACTCCCCCAAATCTTGGGATTCCTTCCACCTTGTACATCAAGGGGCTTTGCTTTCTGTCTTTCTGCTCTGATCACTGAGTGACTGGCTCATGGTGTAGCTCTAGGAGGGAATTCACTGGGTGAGAAAGAACATATTTTAGGTTGAATAGGAGCCAAACAAGAATGATAAAATGTATAGGTTCAATGATATTTTCTGGGGGTCAACATCAAATGCTCTACTCTCTCTGGCACACAAGTGACATGTTCAACTGTAGGGAAAATTGAAACCCTCACAGTTCTCTTGGTCTCACTTTTATGTAAAAAGTGGGATGGAAGCTTGAGTAGAGGTGACAGGCTGCTCTGCCTGGGGAGGACGATCCCTAGTTTTGACCTGTCCCTTAATTGGGCTTGTTTTGGGCATCAAGGAATAGACGCAGGCTCACACGAGGAAGTAAGAGAGAACAGGAATATATTTCAGCAAGCCTCATGGAAAACTGAATGCTTGCTGAATATTCAGTGCATTTCTAGCAACTTGGGACTTTCGTGCCCACTCAGACTTCGCTGTGCGTCTATAGTTGTTAGCTGGCAGGGCACTGTCTCTGCCTTCGTAGGTGGCATCAGCACTGTGTACGAATGTAATTCCCCGCAGTTACCCTCCTCCTTTTGTTTTCTCATCTCTTGCTGCTTTCTCTGGAATGCATCCTCTTTCATACCTCACCACATCACTCTGTGGTGTCGCAGACGCGGCAGCTGAAACTTCCCCTTTGGTAGCACCTGGAGAACAATGCCATGTGAACCCAAAGGCTAGGATTTTCTAGCTTTAACCCCCTTCCTAAGAATATTTGTGTGCTATTCGCTTCCTATTCTCTTCTTTGCCATTGTTCCCCACTTTGGTTCATTTAATGCCAGTTCCTGTTCCGTTTGGATTAGGCAGACCTGTCTCCCCTATACTAAATTAATTAGTCATGAAATGAAGGTAACATCGTCTGTGAACTCTATTATCGAAAACCATTCTGAGTGCACTGGCAGTGAAACTGAATAAAATATGGCCCTTGCTTCCACTGTTATCCCCTCCCTGAAACTTGTACCTGTGAAATAACAGGGAACGATATGGTTCCGAACATATGCAAATGCTCCGAACAATGCCTGGCACAGTTTAGATGCTGCACATATTTGGTGGACAAAACAGATGAATGCTTGATCATGTGGTTAAGCATGGAGGGGCTCTGGAAACTCAGACGAGGTGTGATGATGTGGGCTGGAGAAGTCAGGGAAGGTTCCAGTAAAAGGCAGGGCAGGGAGGTGTTGGAAAGTATGTTAGGACCTACCTAGGCAGTCTGGAGTAGGGGCAGGAGTAACAGGCTTAATGGGAGCCCTCAGTTCTCGGGATCAAAGCTGCTTCTTTGAGTTAGCTATTATGGTGATGACTGCTACTGTCATTATGGCGAAACTTACTCTAAATAGAAATCTATAATGATCTCAATGAGCACTAAAGAGCGGCTTAGTCATCACGGCCACCAAATGTCGTCACATACATTATTAAGTGCACCTATGTGTCCAGAAATGTCCTAGCCACCCGTTATGTGCACAGCCTCTGGTTAGCTCTCGTCATGTGGGCTTTGGGATTTGAAAGCAGACATACAAAGGAAGCAGTCTGACCTTAGAATAAGAGGAAAATTTACTCTCTACATCTCTCTAAATTGGACTTTTGCTATTACATATCATAAAGACTTTTAGATGTGAAATGACATTTCATTCATTTGACAAATAATTATATAATATTAATAAGCCAGTGTGCATAAAGCAGTGAGAAGAGGGAGGCAAAATTAATAAGTAATTATAATTAATTATCTAATTATAATTGTGCTAAGTGCACAAAGGAACAGGACAGGGTGCTAAGGAGCATAGAATGGGGGACCTGACCTAGTTTGGGGCCAAAAAGATTTCATTAAGTACTTGATTATTTAGAAGGATGAGGAAGAGCCAGGCGAAGAGTTGGGTGAGGATGATCTGGGATTAAACAGGGAAAAGACCCACTTTTCCCTTGCCATAAGTGCATATTTTGCTAAATTACAACTTCCTGTTTGAACTCTCTTTGCTGTTTTTGACCGTCAAGAGGTTGGCTAAGCAGATGGTATTGTGTGACCACAGCAGCTGCTCCTGACGTGAGAGGCAAAACATCAACTCGGTATCTCCGTGCCCCACCTTATGCTTTTGCTTTGACTCTCAGAGTTACGTGGAGCAGAGCACAGACGCTCACGGACACACACAGCACAAGGCAGTAGGTATTCGCATCTCCTCTGTAGCTATGTTTTCCATTTTTGCACACTCAAGCTTTTGCATGTGTCTGAATAGTCCACGCACTGAGTTTCTATCTCAGCTCTTGCCTCGCCAGCACCCCAAGCTCCCAGGTACCTGTCCTCTCCTTGCGAGCAGGCTGCTCGCTTTCTCCCTCCACCCCCAGAGCTCTGACTCTTCAATACGAAGACACTGAGATCATTGACGTTTATGTTTCACTTTATAATATGTGACGCAGCTAATGGAGATGATATTGACAGTATTTCTATTTTGTCAAAGCTGGGGGCCTGACCCTGAACAGAGAACCTTTGGTAGCAGCCATCTCAAACTTGAACTTGAAACTTCAGAAGAACTGAGAGAAACCAAGAGGTCTGAGATGTATTTATGATTGGCTTTCTGAGGACAAAGGGATGAAGGTTACTTCTGAACTGGCTCCGCCCCAGTCTTCACAAGCTCCATTCAAGGGTGTTGAGCTGTCACTGACACAGCCGAGGACTGCAGCAGGGGGCGAATAGCGAGTAGGAATCAGGGAAATTTTGTCACGGTTGCTGTGTCAGGCTGAGACCCCCAACTACCTCCTTCAGGAAGCCTTCTCTGGTTCTCTCTTAGAAGCTGAGCAAAATACTAAAAAGACGAAATCCTTTCTGTGTGGTCGTCTGATGGCAAAGTGATCCCAGAGCCAGTTGATAGGGCTAGCAAGGATGGGGGCTCCTGAGTGGCCTGAGGAGGCAGAGCAGTCCAGACAGGGGCAGCTGCAGTTGGCCCCATGGGTGGGGGGGCAGATGAGTGACATCCTCACTACAGCCCTCCCACAGCGCCCCAGTCAGCAAGGGCAAGAGCAATGGAAGGCTCCAGAGTCCATGTCACGACACTCAAGGACACCTGCCTGTAGCCTTACCCTTACGCGGTGACAGGGTCGCTCCTTTAGACCTTGCCCTCTCTCCGTCTTACTGGGTTGAGAAGGTCGGTGTTATGGACATTGATAACTGTTGACCACGCCCGTCAACCCCCAGGCTATTTCACTTGCCGCACCCGTCTGTGAGCTCAGTCTGCAGGAGCTCCCCCGTCCCCCCCCCCCCCCCCCCCCCCCCCCCCCCCCCCGCTCCTCTGTGCACCTGCAGCATCCTGGGGCGCCCCCAGCTGTGTTCTCCCCACACTGCCCTGTGTGGGTATTGTTCCTCCGTTAGGCTATGAGCCCCCTGAGACAGGAAACATGGCGCATCCTGAGTCGTGGTGCCTGTCACGCATACCCCCTAGATGGTTGTTGAAAGAATGGGTGGATGGTTTGTGAATTCTTCCTCCCGTATGTCAGACCTGAGCACTCGGGCCGGGTGCGACACAGCGTGGGTCACAACTTCCGACGGTCACGAAAAGAGGCAGGTAAGGTCAAAAAGGAGACCAAATGTCAGGGGACAGGAAAAAATATAACTCCTAGATGTTTGCAGTGTCACCCTGCCTGGAGGGGGAAAAAAAAAAAAAAGCTCAGAGGGCTACATTTCTCCCTAAGACTTCACAAGGTCTCCCTGCTCCAGAACTGTGTGTGGCCAAGACACTTAGCTTGTCAGACAGCACTCTTCACCCAAAAGCTTTCTCAGGTATGTCAGGGGACAGAGATGCCAAAGAGAAATCAGGGGGTGCCCCAGCCACAGATCCCTGATGCTGCAGGTGTGTGCACGCCCCACCATCATTTCTGCTGGAGACGGGGCGGAGGTACAGGGGAAAGCGGAGGGGACGGCACACAGAGCTGGGGTGAGGGCCCAGAAGGCAGCTCGGAAGTCAGCTCAGCCCAACCCTCACCCAGAATGGAAGAAAGGAAGCCTGCTCCCTCTGCCCTTCCTTCTCTTTAGTCCAGTGCAGATTAACAAGGTTTGGTATGACTCATTCTGTGAGTCAGACAGGGGAGGAAAAACAAGCACGTCAAAGTCTAACTTTCAGATGTGTAAAGATTTAGCAGTCTGATCTGTGACCAAAATTGTTGATTTGAAAAACTGGAATGAAACTGAAGAGTTCTCTCTCCTTCCATCGTCAAAGAGCTGCTGAGGCACTGGCCAGGCAGGAGGAAGGCCAATCCGGAGAACTGCTCAGAACAGGAAGTATCAGGGAGAAATGACCCTGTGAGGCCTGGAACTAAGGTGTGAAGTCTGTCTGCTGTTTTTCTGGGATCCCTTTCACATATCCCTCCACCCCATTTTCTTGCTCTTCAAGCAATAATGGCCCCTGTCCATTTCCCAGCGTGCCTTGCGTTCTTGACTTCCCCCTCCCTCGTTTTGTGGTTCTCAAACTTGGCCGTACTTTGGCTCCCAGGGCCTGAGCATCTAGGGTTTTACAAGCTCCCCAGGTGTTTCTAATGTGCAGCCGAGCTTCGGCATCATGTCCCTCATCCAGTGTATACACTCTCCATGGAAATTTGCATGTTAGTGTTTTATCTGTAATAGTCTAATGACATGCTCTGTCTTGAGTTTTAAAATGTCTGGCTTTGGGGAGATTGTTCCATGAGCTATGAAGTGTTCTGAAGGCGACTGCATCAGATATCAGTGCTAAAGATAAGCGAGTTATGGTTGATTTAGGATATTTTAGGTCTGCAAGCAGAGTGAAGGGCACAGGGCAGCATACTTCTCTTCTAGTTTTCTTCTCTTAATTATCAATTTTCCCTTCCCATTCTTCTTCCCTAAGTCCCAAACCCCAGGGAACCATCATCCCTTCCCTTCACAGCTGCTTGTTCTCGCTATAACCCAGAAGAAGGATGTCTTGGTGGGATATTCCACCAGGGACTCCAATCACATGATCCAGATAGTTCCTTCCAAACCCTCCACTCTTCAGGGTGCCAGTTCCTCAAGGGCCTTCAGTCCTGGAGCAGCGGCAGGGGTGGGAGACAATGCTGTGTGGGACCCAGGTCCCTCAGGTTGGGGGTAGAGCAGCAGTTCCCAGGCTTTTTGGTCTTAAGATTCGTTTATAGTCCTCAAAATCATTGAGGACCCTGAAGAGCTTTTGGTCATGTGGGTTATATCTCTTAATATGGACACTATTAGAAATTAAAACTGAGAAATTAAAAAAACATGTATATAATAATTTACTTCAAAGTAACAATAGCCAACCCATTCCAAGTAAGCATAGATGATATATTTTCTGAAAAATAGCTATTTTTTTTCCAAAACAAAAAACATGTAGGGAGAAGAGTAGCATTGTTCCACATTCTGCAAATCTTTTTGGCTTAATACAAGACAGCTGGGTTCTCATAGCTTCTCCTGCATTCAGCCTGTTTTGATTCACACATTGTGCAGCAACTCTGGGAAATGATACTGGAAATTTATGAGAGAATGAGAATAAAAAAGGCAAACAATGTCTTCATATTATGAAAATTGTTTAGACCTAAGTGGGTTCCCTAAAAGGGTCCCCGGGACCTCCATGGGTATTTGAGTCACACGTAGAGAACTATTGGCAGAGACCAGCCTCTATGGTCAAGAGAGCCAGTGCTGAGTGGTGATTAAACAGTGCACCGGGCAGGAATAAGCAATAACCTGGAGCCTGGAGTGTAGATCTCAGAGGACTTGTAACATGGGGAAAAAAACAAAGTAACAACTGATTTGACCCAATGCAAGTGACAGTGGCTAATGTCACCTATGTCTTTCTTGTCAATGTTTACGTTTCTGTGCAGCATACTCTGTTTTGGGTTAACTTGGGTGCAAAACCAGTGTGTTGTTCACTGGGCATGTTGACCAGCATGACACGGAGGATGGAGGGCTGGGAAAGACGTTCTGGAAGCCCTGCCACTGGCAATGCAAACAGAAGTAAACAGTTTCGGTTTCTGTTTCCATCTCTGTAGCAAGTTAAACAGTGAGCTTCCCCAAAACTTGTCTAGTTTCAACATCCTTTGGTTGTCTGTTTACAACTTTCAAAAAAGGTTGGGGAGGGTCATGGCATTCTTGAAAACATTCTGGCTGAAGTGAGGAAGTAAATACTTAATTGGATGATAGAAAAATAAGAAGGAAATAAAAACAACATGTTCTGAACTCTGGGAGGAAGGTAACTTTTAAAGCATTGTGAAACATTGATAAAATGCAAAAACTATCAAGAAGATAGTAAAACTGACCCAGTATGTTTTTGCTATATTTCCTTCTGAACATCCTTTTCCAGGTTACACTGTACATAGAATTTAATGCCCTGATTCTTTTAGGTAAACATTTTTACTAAGTATTTATGTAAATCTTTTATAATTCCCATTTAAATGAATAAAATCCCACTGTGTGGTTATACTATATTTTACTGAATCCCCTTATTTTTCGATATGCACAAAGTTGCACTAAGGTTATAGAATTATGGCTGATTTTGTTTCTATTTCATTTTACCTGTCTCTTTTCTCTAGTGTGGTTCAATGTTGTTCTTAGTATGACAAATAACTTTAAGGCAAGCACATGTTTTTTAAAGACCGGGAGGAATCTGGATTGCCTATACCAACAAATGCCATTCTCTGAAGAATCTCAATGCAGATTTTTCTCGGCTCTCATTAGACTCTCAGACTTCCCAGGACTGCAGGCCAAAGGTGTGTAGAACCCCACAGACGACCATCAGCCGTTTAGTCCTACCTGAGGTGATTCATGCTGCATTCAGGAACAATCCCATTCCTACTCAGATAACAGTTTGCCATGTCAACGCACACAGTCCCCACAACGTGTAACAACTTCACTGGAATTCTCTTTTCCTGTTTTTTTTTTGCGCCCCTCCCAGTTCTAGGAAAGTATCTCGGAAATCACTCTGCCTCGTCCTACAGCACCGATTAACAGGGCCCTCTAAAAAACAGCCAAATCCCAGAGAGGCCAAGGGAAGGCGGGAGGCCGGGCCCCTCCTTCTTCCTGTCCTACTGCCCCAGGAACGTCCTGTCTGCCTCTCTGTCTTCACCCCACAAGGGGGGTGAGGATGAGCTGAGTTGCCGAGAAGTGAAAACGTTCTGGAACTAAATGTCCTACGCAGTGGAGATCTATTTGTTCAAATGGAAAACAGCATATCATGAAGGCGAGGCCCCCAAAGGAGTCCCAGCTTCTGCAGGAAGTGCCCACGGCCCCCTTCAGTCCAAACGCACCCACTTCGAGCAAACAATTTCTTGAGTTCCTCTTGCCTTTCCAGGGTGCCTGCCACCCATAATTGTCTTAGTGGAACTGACATACCCTGATCAGACTGGGTCCTTCCAAGGACAGTTAGTTTTAGTGAGAAAATGCTCTGGTATACATGTATTTGTTTCTTGGGGCTGCCATAATGTACCACAAACTGGGTGGCTTAGAACAGCGGAAATGTAGTGCGTCACAGCTCTGGAGGCCAGAAGTCCAAAATTGAGGTGTCGGCACGCCCCCACCCCTAAAGTGCTAGGGAAGGGTCTGCTCCAGGCCTACTCCCAGCTCCCAGGAACTTTAGCAACCTTCCTGGAAGGTGTCATCTCACACCGACTCTCCTCTGCGCATGTCCGCTGCGTCCAAACTTCTCCTTCTTAGGGGGATCCAGTCCTATCAGATTCGGGCCCATCCCAATGAGCTCGTTTTAACACGATTAACTCTGTGAAGACCCGGTTTCCAGATAAGGTCACATTCTGAGGCACTGGGATTAGGACTTCAACGTATCTTTTGGGGGGAGGGG